CCCGGTGCCTGGAGGGCTACGCGGCCCTGAGCTCTCCCCCGAAGCTGGCCTTTGGCGGCGGCGGCGGGCTGTCGGTGAGCATGCCCTCGTACCTCACGCTCAGCCAGGACCACGACAACAAGTACCGACGCGCCTTTGGCCATTGACACCATCATCATTCATCAGAGCCTCACTCTTGTGTGTGTGTGTGTGTGTGTGTGTGTGTGTGTGTGTGTGTGTGTGTGTCGCACAGGGCTCGCGGATTGGCCCACTGGCTGGTACGCGCGTGTCGCTCTGTCTGATAAGAATGCAGAGAATGCAGAGTTGTGACGTTCTTCTTCTCTTCACGCAGCGGGCCAACGAAGTGGTGGACGCCAAGGCCAACCTGGGCGAGCTGGTGGACCTGTTCTATCAGCTGTGCTCCGTCGAGACCACCTGCCAGGGCCTGGCCGCCATCGCCGCCACCCTGGCCAACGCCGGCACCTCGCCCCTCACCGCTAAGTACCTATTCTTCTTCTTCGTTCTTTTTTCCTTTCTTTTTCCCTTTTTACTGCAGTGCTGATGCCTGTGATTCGATTCAATGGAATGCAATGAACGCAGGAGCGCGGTGTCGAAGGCGGTGGCGACGCAGACGGTGCAGATCCTGAACGTGACCGACAAGTGGGCGCAGAGCATCCACCTCGCCGCCAAGAGCTCCCTCTCCGGCGCCATCCTCGGTACGCACCACAAACACCTCTTTGGCCAAACTATAACGCTAATGTGCCACCAAAGCAAAACTACATCACTTTCACGACCAACATAACTACAACGTGCAACTAAGGCCTCGATGACACTGCACACGTGACGCACACACAAACACCCCTTTGCAGTGGTGGTGCCGGGCGTGCTGGGGCTGGCCGTGTATTCGCCTCGCTTGAGTCCCCAGATGAAGAGCGTGGCCGGCACCAAGTTCTGCGAAGCCATCGCCACCACCTTCCCCAGCCTCGCCCAGCCCTCCGCGTAGCGCATTTTTTCTTTTGTTTTTTTCGTTTTTCTTTTTTGCCTTAACCCCGCCCGCTCGGCCAATGGCAAAAAAGCGAGTGATAAAAAGAATGACATTTTGTTTTAGCGAAACGCAAAAGAGAGAAAGAAGAAGAACCCAAGCCACGGCCACTCGGACATGATCTTCATCGCCGCCTCCTGGCTGCTTGCCCTGGGCGGAACCTGGCTCGGCTGGTGGGTCGGCCTCGCCTACACCATGCAGACGGCCCCGCAGGGCCTCGCCCCCAGCAACATGGCCCTCGCCCTCGCGCTGCCCTCCGGCTCGCTCCTCACCGGAGCTGCGGCCCTCTACCAGTACTGGGGCACCGACGCCGCCTGGCGCTTCACCCTTCTCGCCCCGCCCATGCTCCTCTCTGGCGCCATCATCGCCCTGTTCGCCAGCGAAGGGTGCAAGCGCTCAGAGTTTCGCACAGGAGGCTCCAAACCCAGACCACGCAGGCCCTTGCGCAACAACTAAAGGCAGCTTTGTAAGTTTGTAATAAAGGAGTTTGCTTTTACTGGAGTTTAGTTTATTGTCTTGTCAACACGGCGAAGACAAAGACAGGAGGGCTCTAGCGGCCGAAAAGGATGCAAGCAGAAGAGGTCCTCAACCACACTCAATCCCTCTCTTTCTCTTCTTGTTGTGGGCCTCACTATAAATCTATTTTTTCTGTCTTCCCCCCCCTGATGAAAGAACGAAGGCGAAGAGCGCACGCGACTGCAGGGAGGTAAGCGGAAGAGGCGCCAACAGGCCGTCACCTGCGCCGTGTGCGGGAAGGAGTGCAGATCCTCCCAAGCCCACGCCATCCACTTCATGTGGAGACACAACAAGAAGGACGACAACCCCCAGCTGCAGCCGCTACACGGCAATTCGAAAAAAAGGCCCCGGTCGGAAGCGAGGTCGACCACCGAGCCGGTGAACGGGGGGCACCAAGGCCAACCAAGTTCGCCGTCAACCCCAACGCTTCACTACTATCCCGCCGTAACTGAACTGGAGACCGCCACCGGGCTGATCGATTTCTCCCTCCCAACTGAGATGATGACGAACGTGTCCAGCGCCTTCCGAGCTTGGCCTTCGACGCCGGGTCCTGGTAACGATCCACTCAGCATGGGCATCACGCCGTCGTCGTCGTCGTCGTCGTCGTCGTCACGTTCGTGTCCCACATACATGCTTTCCCCGCTAAGGTCGCCGCCGATGCAGCCCGCGATCATCTGCACCAGCACCGGGGTCGCGGAGGTCCTGTGCGAGCTGCACCATGCGCCCGAGCACTCGACCGGCACGCAACTGCGGCTGCTGGTCTCCGAGGCGCACGTCGATGCCCTCCAGCCCTCGGTGACGGTGCACGGATTCAATGGCGGCCCGATCTGGCGGCCGTGGACACACCTCACCCAATGCCGCATTAAGCGCGGCCGAGCCAACAAGGCCGGCTGGGTCGCGTTCTTCGTGTGCGACGTAAATTGGGAATGGCTCGAGTGCCGGAATCTGGACCAGACGCACAGGCCCACCCGCCACCGCCTGGCCGTCAGCGTGACCAACGTCCAGGGCCAGGTCATCTATCGCCACCAGATCACGCAGCACAAGAAGCGGAGTATATATGTATATATTTCTATGCATACCATACATCCCCCCTTGCTCGGTTGTAGTACTGATTGACTGCTGGGCTGACATTTATGGCTTGTCACTGTGACAGTGGTGGCAGGGGCCGAGGTGCGCGATGACGATGACAATGACGACGACGATCATGGTAATGAAGCAGCCGAGGGTGAAGATGCTGTGGTGCTGTGCCACTCGTGCTTCAACAAATTCAACGCTCGGTTTCAGGTTGGTGGCGGTGGTCGTCTGCTTCCTTTCTCGTTGTGTTGCTGCAGCAAGGAAGGCCTTGACTCATCTCTCCTTCAGTGCCTGCCATTGGAGAAAGAGGCCTCAGAGTCAAACGACGATCGTCAGCTCGCACAGCCCGCACAGACGGGTGTCGTCGATGCGTTGCATGGCATAGGGCCTGTGGACGATATGCTCTGCGACCCTGAGGAGCTCACGGTCGAGGCCGGCCAAGAGCTGCAGCCTATCACCTGGCGCTTGGTGGACCTCTGTAGACACACGATCAAGGACGCCGAGGGCCACGTCATCATGCTCGAGAACTCCACACTGTACGCGCTCAAATCCCCATGACCACTCCCACGACTCTGCTGAAACCGCGAAACCCTCCAGGCGCGTTTCGGAACAGAGCATCAAGTTGTCGAAAGGGGTTGCTACGTTCACCAAGCTCCAGGCAATCATTTCCGACGAGCATCCTGTCGCCACCTCTCTCACGTTTCACTTTGAAGGCGAAGGTGCCCTGCAGCTCTCGTTTTCCCTCGACCGCCCATGAGCAGTGCCGTGCGGTGCGTGTGGCTGTGTGTCACATGCTGACCCTTAGGTTGCTTGGACACAATCAGATGGCAACTGCAGCTTGACGAAGCACCTGCCAGTGACCATCACCGCACCGCTCGTGCCCAGCGATGTCCACTTCTATATCCACGGGGAGCAGAGGCTGGAGCTGCAAGCTGGCCAGTCTCTCGGCGTCGTCCGCGTACGACACCGACTGCTTCGACTTTGACTGCTTCCAGCTTCGCTTGTGCTGACTCCATTCCGTCCGTGGTCACGCATAGCTCGAGCTCGTGGACCAGGCTGGCCGGTCATTCAACAGAGAGCGAATGGTGTCGCTCTCCTTCGAGATCCTAGGTGCCAGGTTCCGGCTCGAGGTGCGTTGTACAGGGCCTCCAGACTTAACTTCATGATTTGGGGGGGGGGTGTCTAGTCGCGTACGATCGGATGACTGACGCTGGGCGCAGGGTCAGAGCAACCTGGAGGTCGACTGTTCGCAATTGAAGGCGCCCACAACCAGCGGCTCGTTCCCCGTACGAATCTGCTATCTGGGACCCGGCAATCGCAGATGCGACTTGGAGAAGCGCTTCCAGGTGATCCCAGGTAAGGGCGCGTCTCTCTGCCGGTTTTGGGCGTTGTTGTAACTAACGACCGCAGATAGATACCCTCTTCTCACGCCCCGCGTTCCTCCTGTACAGCCCAACCTCGCAAGTTGGTGCTCGGAGGAACCCCCATCGTGAAAAAGTTCTACGTTAAGGAGGACAAGCCTGTGACGTTGGTAAGAACTACCTCTCGGCTCGTTTTCTCGGGTATCGTGTGTGTGGCGTGTGTAGTGTCGTGTGTCGTGTGTGTGTCGTGTGTGTGTCGTGTGTTGTGTGTCTGATGATTATGTGTGTCAGGATCTCGTTCTGCGGCTAGCCGATGAGTTTTACAACCTGATCGCTAACGACCAGCGGCTTCGACACCTGATGATTCAGCCTGTGCTCATCGATGGCGGGTCGAACCGACTCTCACTCCGTCCCGTCCAATTCACGCCGGAGGGCCGGGCGCCGTTCAACGAGACACTCAGTCACTTGAAGCACACCTGTTGTCAAAGTACAGCATCCTTCTCATGGGTCTGTAGACACACACACACACTGTTAGCATGTTAATGAAAAGCAGATGGGGGTACAAACCCTGACAAGGATGTTGCATGTGATGTTATGTTGATTCATGCACACTGACTTGGCCAGTTGGTGCCACTGCTCCCAGAGCTTAGTATCCTGAAATTCTGGGGGGCCAAGGAACTTGATAGTGTCAGCCCAGTGTTCACAGGTTTTGAAGTTCACAAAGGTGAAGCTCAGCTTGGTCTCATTGTCGTTGCCATTGTCACTGTCATCGTCTCTTCTCCTCTTCATTGTGCTCACCCTCTTCTTCCTCCTTGCCATCTTTTTCTTTTTCTTTATCTTCTTGTTCCCATTGCTGACATTACCATAGAGCCAATACATGTTGGACTTCCACAATCACCTCATCCTGATCATCTTCTTGAGGGTCTTGTTGGTGTACTCACTCTGCTGAAGCAGGCGAAGAATGTCTATGTGCCATTCCCAGCAGAGCTGTTCCTCTGCTGGGATCAGGCCCATTAGACAGACCTCTATGATCTGTGTGAGACTCTCCATCTCACTGCCTGTGAGAGAAACAATACTCTACATGCAAGTTAGTAATTAAAATAGAAAGGCTGACCATTGACATACCATCTTGCCTCACTTTTTGGTGAAGTTGAAGCATGTTGTGAAGCCATCTTTGCCCAGAAAGGCACCATAAACTTGTGGTCATTTGAAATGAGAGGTCACAAATGACTGTGGAATTTTTGTTGTGCTAAAATCGTGTGAGATTTGACATTTTTGATTTATAGGGCAGTTTGGAAGATTTGGATCTGCATGTGTGATTTTGACATGCTAGACTGCTGCATATAAGTGATATTGAGAGACTTGAGATGAAAATGATTTCATAAAAACTTGGAATTTGTGGAGTTAAAAGTGAATTTAGCAGCATGAAATGGAGTGGAATTTTAACTTCAGGAATAGTGCTCTAATTCAGCACAAATATGAAGAATGAAGTTCTGTCTGTGAGTGCAACTGACTGAATATGGTGTGAGGTTGTACATGAACTGGAAGTGAGGGCACCATGTTGGCCACTGATTATGGAATTGATGGAGGGGGTGAAAGCAAAAGCAAGATGCATTTTGAGGTTGTTCCAAGTAGCACTGACACAAAACAAGGTAGAGTCAGATTTTACTTTGCGCCAACATGTCTGTGATAAACAAAGAAATGGTAGTTTGAATGTGTAGACATTGTGTATGTGTACATGATAGAGTAAGCATCCAGTTTTACAGTTTTTGTTGTATAGGCCACCTCCAGAGCAGCTCACCAGTGACCCATTTGGCTGGGTTTATGGGTACAAACATGCTCAGAATGACCTTCTCTCTGACCTGGAGCCATTGGATCAGCCCATCAATGCGTCCATCAGTCTCACCAGAAGTGCTACACTTGAGCTGACATCAGTGAAGCCAGATGATGGAGCCATTGTGGCAATTGCTGGTGAGAAAGGAGCTGTGTGGCTTGGTGTGGTCAGTCGCACTACCCATGCACACATCTTCCTAGACTGGCTGGATGAAGCAATGGATGGGTCCTACCACTTGACTGCTTACCCACCCACCTCTACAATTCCCTCATGTGTGCAGATGTTTCACTGGATATCAACAACCAGATGAGACCTGCCTTCTGGTCACAGCTTCTTAGCATGCAGAAAGACTGGCCTGATCTGGACGAAGACTCCAGTCACCTTAGCCCAACCCACACCAAAGAACTGCCTGATCATGAGCCACTCAGGAGGGGAAAAAGAAGGAAGTAAGTTGTTGGTGTTGTGTATTGCATGCAGCACCTGAGGTTTGTTACAGCGCCCCATGTATGGCACATTGGGCTGACTGGGCGAACCTCTTGATGTACCTTTTGAACCTCCATGACAAGTGCTCACTCCAACCCATCTCAAAAGTTTTATCACATACATGTACACAGCCAGGATTTGATAGCCCAGCACTCAAGAAGGAATATAGGCTCAGGGCGAAGGTGGGGTGCAGAATACCAGTCCTGCAGACCTTGCTTGAAAGCCTTGATGGTCAGGACCTGGGGATTATACTTCATGCCAATCATGAAGGTTGAGAACATCTGGTCAATATCCTCATGGGTGTGTCCCACAGGCAGGAAGGATATGGTGATTGATTGAAACACCTTGTTGAACACCAGCCAGTGGCAGTAGGCCAGCATGTACTTGTTCTTGTTCTCCTGGCTGCAGTTGTCAAACTGTAGGTAGAGAGTCAATGGACGAAGTCCTGCTGCAGGAATAGCTAAGTGAAGGGTGAGGTGATGGTGCAGCAGAGACACTGCAAAGTTCATAATAACAGTTGTTTCATTATACTCCATATTTCCATTCTATTCAACAATATTGACTCTTATAATCAATTATAACCACCATTTTATATAGGTAATTTATCATACATGTACACAATAGAACAACTGATATATTCTCATCAATGAAGATTGTTCTTGACTCTCAGCAGAATACCTGAGAGTAAAGAGCAAGAAGCCGAAAAAAATAGCACCACTGGAGCCAGCTCCACCATGGAGATGTCACAGGATTTGCTTGGAGCACCAGAGGTAATGCTTGATTTTGAATGAAATGTAGTCCTTTATAAATCTCACTAATCCTGTACTTTCTTCAGGTTGATGCAACAGCCCAAACAACATCTGCCAGTGAAGGAGGTATGCTTTTCATGCTGTTTGTGAAGCCAATTATGCACCACAACTGCAGGACATTCTATCACATACACATACACAATAGAATGTTTGCTAATTCATCTCCTCCTAGCCCACAGAAGAGGAGCTCTCCATGCCTCCAGAGGAGGCCCTCCTCAAGCATTATGAAGATGAACACTGTGATGATTGACATTGACTGAATGACAAAGAGTGGCACTCATCAGTTGGTGACCACTAGAGGACACAGAGTTCTCTCAACATCAATGAACAAGATGGGCGTTCTGACGATGGAGCGTCTGCTTGTTCAAGAGCTGCCTCCCTCTCAGTGCATCCTCAAAGATGGGATGCCTGAGTACTGCATCATCAACAGCAATCATCACATTCAGACTGCACAGCAGCTTTTCCCTGGGAAGTCTTTCAAGTGGTGTTGTGACATTGTCAATGTACGTTTTTCTTTTTCCAACTCACTTTGATGATGTCCCTGGTCCAACTAATACCCTTTCTCCATTTCCAGAACAAGGTCTCAGAAGATGACATTCACATCCTCACATGGGGCTGGAACCACATGCATGACAAGGCTGCAGTTCACAAGGATGAGTGGGAGGACTTCTTCCAGTACTGTGACACCCTATGCACCAACAAGTTCTGGACCACTACTTGAGGCGAGTGAGCCATCTCATCAGCTCAATGGTACATTTTGTTGTGTACACATATGTGACATACAATTACAAACTTCCAAACACTTTCTAACTCCACTATTTCATGCAGCCTGAGGCTCAGAAGCTCAATGAGGCAGAACAGAGGAAGCTATGAGAAAATCTGTGCAACTACACTGGCATCATGAAGAAGTTCCTCAATGTTGATGGTTGGCCCAAGAGTGCCACATACCTTGAGAATTTGTATGCTGAATCTGAAGAACCCATGCCAATCATGCCCCTCTATCTTTGCAATCACTTGATTTCTGATCCAATTCTGCTTCATGTCCTCAAGCACATCTCAACTGAACAGCACAAGCAGATCCAAGTGGGCAACAAGTACAAGATCAGCAAGAACTGGTATGCTCCCCACCAGTATTTCTTATAACTATCCCATTGTGCTGACTGTACTCCCTTCCAGCCTTCAAGGAGCTCCTCATTGCCTGCCAGAGACATGTCAAGTTCCTGAGCAAGGCAAGAAAGGTGGCTACACGCCTCATGGATAGGGACTTCATCCACCTCAAGAACAAGGTGGCTACTGGAGAGTGGGTATGTTCTCCTTTTGCATACTTCTTTCATTGTGTATGTGTATGTGATGAATTGTAGTTGATATATGCTCCATTATTTTTATTGTGTATGTGTATGTGATGAATTGCAGTCAACATATGCCAATCTAATTGCTTGCTTTACATTAGGATCATCACATTGCCTGTGACCAGGAGCAACTTCTTCTGATCCTCAGCAATCCACACATCAGAATTGAAGACGTTATCCAAGAGTTGCAAGAGAGGATTCAAAAGGAGAAAGAGGAGAAGGAGAAAGCTGAAGAAAAGGAGAAATGTAGAGCAAAGGCTAAAGGCAAGAGGAAATCCACTGACTCAGCAGAAGAACCTTTTGAACCAGCATGAACACATGATGAAACCAGATCCAACCAGAAGCTCCTCTGCAAGTGCATTGAACAGCTCTGGGTCACTTGCATGAATCCCAAGCTAGTCAACATCGTCCTGTGCAACATCTCCATTGATGCATCCACTCACCACTGGGATCAGCACAGGCTGAACCAGATGATGGGTTACACCAATCCAAATCAACATGGTATGACTGCTCTCTGAATCAAGGCTCATGTGTTTGATTACTAACCTGTCTCACCACACAGACTGCTTTGCTGCCATCCTGACAACCAATGTGCTGGAAATGGCGGCTCTTCTCAACCTCCTTGCCAACAAGAATAGCCCCTGGCAGCTTCTGCATCTCATCT